AAACATCTGGTTTAGTCTCATTAAAGCTTTCTCTAACTGGACCTCACAATGTCGCCTGTGTAAATGCTGTATCTATAATTTCCTGTTTCTTAGCACAAGAACAGAATCTCCTCTTAGCTTAGCCCTGATCCCTTGTAATTAAAACTTTGCAATGTGCAAGAATAAGGTCTGAACTACTAGCTGGTTAGACAAATCTTTTGATAAACTAGCCAAATGCTCCAGTTTGCTGAACAAGAAGCTTGACTTTTTTTTTTTTAAATCCGATTTTTATTACAGCGACTTAGGCAATCCCTTCCCGTGACAGACTTGAGCTACAGAGGATCAATGAAAATATGGGGCAAGGGCCTCTTAAGAAGATTTTCCCCACATGTACTCTAAACCAATTGATTACTTGTATGAGTTCTAAGCAATTAGATATCTCTAATCATCAAAGTGATACCTAAAAAAAACGAAGATAACAAATGCGGTTGGGAACTAAACAATTCATTCCTCTTCTGGCTTCTTTCCTTGACTAATATTTTTTATAACATCTGGGATCATTGATCTGGCATTTCAACAATAACCTCCTCCTGTAATTATAGTATTCCTTTGTGAACAAATATTATCCGGACCACCTTTTGATATTAAATAGGACAACTGATTTGTGATCAAACCTGTTTTAAGACACTGCTGCATTGACTTGCTTGGGTCCCTTAAAAAACAAACCCCCTTAAACTTTTGTCTATATCGATTTGCCGTTTATGGAGGAAAAAATGGTCACTTGGATGAAAAAACAGCCTAATGTCATTACTGCCTCCCCACTTTGGCTGCCTTACTGGGACTTCATTTAATAAACTAACTCAGCGTCTTTAGGGACAACCTAATAATCACCCACTCTGAAGTCCCAGGGACTTGCTTCAACAAGGCAGTAATTGTTTTAATGGACGGCCAGACAATGTCTTCTGGCTGCAGGAATTAACAAAGGGAAAGGAGAAAAGAGTCCAGCGCATCTTGAGCAATTAGGGTGTCACGTGCCCCTTGTTCCCCCCTTGTTTCAAACAGGAAGCCTGTTTGAAATATTAAAACACAGTTTCAAAATCTCTTTGCACAGATTTCCCAAAATCTGACTTTAAAAGAAGTTAGGAGTGCATTTCTGCAAAGTCTAGAAAAAAGAAAAAAGAAAAGAGAGAGAGAGAGAGAGAGGGTTTCAGAAGAAAACTCGCAGCGAGGGAAGAGATGAAAGACGGAAATTTTAAGAGGTTCGGGAGCCATTAGTAGTCCATAAAGGCAAAAGCTTTTTCCTAAGATTTAAAGGCAGTTTTACAGCAGTGAATGAACCTGGCGGTTGGCATATTGAACGGGTTAAGAGCTGCGATCGGGATCTATGCAGACGGGGTCAAAAAAAGCAAGATGGTTGCTGGGAATGATGGCTACAGTTTTCGTTGCAGGCTCCGTTTTGAGCCCTCCCCCATGCAGATTGTCCTCAACGTACGACCACAATTTCCATTGCAAAGTGGGACATTTGTTAAGTGAATTTTGCCCCTACATCCTTTCTTGCCACCGTTGTTAAGTGACTCGCTGTGTTGTTAAGTTAGTGACACAGTTGTTAAGTGGAAGGGGATCAGTTGGCCCCCGAGACACTGCAACTGTCATAAATACAAGTCAGTTTCCAAGCATCTGAATTTTGATGACGTGACCTTGGGGATGCTGCAACGGTCATAAGTATGAAAAATGGTCGTAAGTCCCTTTTTGCAATGTCGTTGTAACTTTGACTGGTCACTAAACAAAGTGTTGTAAATTGACCCTGCTTGCAATATATGGAGGAACTTGTTTATACAATTTATTAAATTTATATGCTATCCATCTCACTATTGAGTGACTCTGGGTGGCTTACGTCATCATAAAAACAAGAATAAAAACATTAAAAGCCAAGGGAAATCATCAAAACAATTAGAAAACTAAAATTAGAATATTTCAGACATGTGATGCGACACCCAGAAAAATACGGCATGCTCCATTTAATCCTCCAGGGAAAGATGGAATGCAAATGAGGTCCAGGCAGAAGAAGAACATCGTGGCTTCAAAATCTAGGGGACTGGTTTGGACAAAACTCAGCAGCACTTTTTCGTGTGGCTGCTGATAAAAACAGGATCGCCAACATGATCGCCAACGTCCGATAACGGATATGGCAGAAGAAGAAGAAGAAGAAGAGGAGGAGGAGGAGGAGGAGGAGGAGGAGGAAGAAGAAGAAATGCTAATTAGCTTAGCCACCTTAATGATCATTCATCAGAAGCCACCTAGATTGTTGTTTCTCAACCTTAGTGTGTGGACTTCATCTCCCAGAATTCCCCGGCCAGCACATATTAAATTTCTCAAGGTTGAGAAACACTAACGTAGTTCATCCAAGACATAATTGGCAGACTGGAAATAAAAAAAAACAAAAAAAAAACCACCATTTTTTTAGTGTGCCAAAAGTTTCTCTGCCTTCTTACCAGAAAGTGAGACCAGAGAGGACCAGATTATTATCAGAAACGGATGACATCTTTTTTTTAATGCAAGTACTTTAAAACTCACATACCCCCTGCCAGCGCATCATTTCCCGTTATTTCATAGCTGCTCCGTGTTCTTAACTGCCCATTTGGGGAGATTGTTCTAAAAGTCTGCAGGATGCTCGGTGCTTGGGGGCCTTCTAAAGTTTCGCTTCGAAGAGGCCTGATGCACTGACACGGGATGCTGAGACTTTGAAGGCAAATTTGAGCTTAACTCAATGAGCTTCACCGTAAAAATGTCGCGCAGGGGAGAGGGGAAAAGGGGCTGAAAAGTCAGCAAAGTCTAATTTTTCTCGGGCAGGTTTGCAACTCTTTACGGTCAAATAGTTTGGGGTGAATGTGTTCATTGTTCTCTATGGGCCAGGGAAATATAATTGGCTCTGGGGTGTGGGGGGGGAGTATCCCGTTTCTCCGGAATTAGGCAGAGTTTCACTCACTAAAAACCCATTATTTGAACCTGGACTGAAGATCTCCAGGTGAGAAGATTTTGGAGGGACTCAGAAGCAACATTTCCACTCCGGAGCAATTTAACCTGTTTTAGCCCTCCGCTGTTCAGACGTGCTATCAACCCTCCTTGTTTTCTGCAGCCGTAACGTAATACTAACGGCTTAAATCCATTGGATGGGTCAATTATCTACAGAGATTCTCAGTCCTCCAGGTTGTAGTTATCTCAAAGGTGCTTTCCCCCCTCCCCCAAAAGGCTACTGGGGCAAACTCATTTAACAACTGTTTCACTTAGCAACATAAATTTTGGACTTAGTTGTAACTCGAGGACAACCTGTTTAGTCCAAGTAAAGACAAAGGCAAAATTCTCGTTTGTTTGAAGAATGTGCCACCTAATTTCCCTTCTCTTGAACACCATCTCCTCGAAAACAAATTCTATCTAATTGATTTTAGTCCATCTTGTTTTCACGCAGGCTGTGAATTCTAAATACGCTTAAGTGTCCTCATACCATGATACAGACATTAAGGGAGGATTTATTTGGCAGGTGGATCTGTTATGTTTTATGGATGACCCAGCTGAAGCACTCTGTGCTTGTTGCTACCTAGAAACATAACTTAGAAAGTATAAAACTTTTAAGATTGGCCCTGCAAATCACAGGAATTTCGACACTACTTAGACGTGTGCACTACTCCCTTCCATTTCTAATGTAAACCCTCAAGGAACATATGCATAAATTATAAAGTATCTTCATGTATTCAGATTTAAAAGAATAAGTAGATTAATGAAACTGGATGCAAACCCACTTTGGAAAGCTACAACTCAATATTAACAGGACCCGGCAATAGCAGCAAAGTCACTTGACTTCTGCCCAAATTATTACAGATAGTCTTTCGACTTAGGACCACAATGGAACTGTGACGGTCATAAAGCAGGTCACCCACGTAAAGCCCGACTTTGCGATCTTTTCTGCGGCAATGAATGAGTGAATGCTGTGGACATTAAGCAAAACAATGATTTGCTGTAGCTCAGTTTTGCTGAAAATGCTGGTTTTCTGCAAAACTGTTGTAAAACATGGTTATGGGACGGGGGGGAGGGGATTGTGCAAATGGACATAAACGTAGGCTGCCCAACATGCGGTCATACGGCCAATGGGGATTGCATCAGAATTTCAGAAATGGGTCCTAAATAGGTCTGTTGTAACTCTGAACTGTCACTAAGCAGCGGTCCTAAGTTGAGAAATAGATAAGAGGGATCTCTGTGTAACCAGTTGGTTGGAGATAACTGCAAATCCTGATGCCGCACAAATAGGTTATTTATTAGAGCTTTTATGAAGAGCTTTCTAAGCAACACACCATCAAAGCATCCTCCTGCAATTTCTCATAGCTGCCTAGCTGGCTGGGGAATGCTGGGAGTTAAGGTCTGTACATCTTAAGGTTGCCCAGGTTGAAAAACACTGTCCTACTGAATTTGGAATCCAAGACTCCTATCTGGGATGAAAACTACACGGCCACAAACCCGGTTCCTCAATAAATCTCTCTGCATATTGTCCTGATCCTAAGATCCTGTTTGTCACTTCCTTCTGCAACCTGGGGACATCTACGCACATCGGATCGAAATGAACAGACACTGCTTAACAAGAATACCACAGCTTTAAACGCTCTCCACTAGAAGACGGAGGAGGAGGAGGAGGAGGAGGAGGAGGAGGAGGAGGAGGAAAAGAAGAAGAAGAGGAGGAGGAGAAGGGAGAAGCAAGACGGAGAAGAAGGAGAAGAAGAAGACGAAGGAGGAGGAGGAGGAAGAAAAAGAAGAAGAAGAAGAGGAGGAGGAAGAAGAAGAGGAGGAGGAGAAGGGAGAAGCGAGAAGAAGAAGAAGAAGGAAGAGGAGGAAGAAGAAGAAGAAGAAGAAGAAGAAGAAGAAGAAGAAGAAGAAGAAGAAGAAGAAGAAGAAGAAGAAGAAGAGGAGGAAGAGGAAGAGGAGGAGGAGAAGCAAGAAGGAGAAGACATAACAAGGGACTCTCGGCCACTTACCCCGAGCCGGACGCAACTCTGTAATGTTCGCAGTAGTTTCGTCATCGGAATCGCCCCCGGCAGCCACTACTTTGTACCGGTTTCCCGTCTGTTTCTTCAACATGTGAGGCACCTGCAAAGCTGCCTCTCTCTCAGCTGCCAGGTCCAGATCCTGCTGAGCCAGATGTGCCCGCAGCTGTCTAATTTCAAACTGAAGCCAAAGAAAGAGAGAAAAATGATTTTTAAAATAAATAAATAAATAATAGCAATTAGCACTAGCACTTAAGACTTATATACCGCTTTACAGCCTTCTCTAAGCGGTTTGCAGAGTCAGCGTATTGCCCCCAACAATCTCGGTCCTCATTTTACAGACCCCAGAAGGATGGAAGGCTGCGCCAACCTTGAGCCGATCAGGATTGAACTGCTGGCAGTAGGCAGAGTTAGCCTGCAATGGTGCATTCTAACCACTGCGCCTCCACAGCTCTTAATGTGCAATACGCAGAGGTATATTGCGTGTAAATACGGATACCCACATAAAGAGTGATATTCTGGTGCTGCTCCTAAAGAGGCATCTCAGCACCAGAGTTTGAAGATCTCAGATCTGGGCACCATCTGTAAAAATGACCAGCTTGATCTGTTCAAACAGTTCAAGTTTTGAAAGGCTGACATAACAATGGTTCAAGGGCTGCTAAAGGCTGTCGCAGAGTGGACACACTGCATTAAGGCATGGGTGAGTTTATCTACAATTGGGGGGGTTAAGTGATCCACTCACACAAAACTCCATGTGGCTTATTCTGGCCCTGCAAGCAAACTGAGATTGAGAAGAACTGGCATAGATGCACACAACATAATTTGCACCAATGTTGTGTTTGCTCCAAGCAAACTGTAATAAAGAAAGCTTTTCTCTAATAGGAATGACATAAATGTGACTATTATATTTGCATAAGCTCTCTGGGACCCTTAGTGTGATTCAAAAGAATCAGTCACTGCTGAAAAGAAAAGACACTATCAATTGACAACATCCATTCTAATGGTTGCTGTACAATGACCAATTCCTGCGGCTACCTTTTGTAATGTGATGCCAGCCATTGCTAAAACTTAACAACTGCGGATTTTTCATTTATTTTGGTCTTTTACTCTTGACACAGACACATGCTGTGTAAAAAACTCACTAATTATTTTGTACAAATCCAATGCCTTTTCACATCGTCACTCTCATTTTCTTTCAATTTATTTCTTTGAAAATAGTTTTGTATGTACATTGCAGATTTTCTGAAAATGCAGAAAGCTATCACCACCAAATTATGCTCCTACATGAATTCAAAAGGGGGGGGGGAGAGAATCAAAGTTTATTGTTTTCATAATCGAAAACAAATGTAATTGCTAGCTTTTCTTTAAAAGAAAACATTGAATTTAGAGACGCAAACATCAACGCTTCCTGAAATAAGTGTGAACTAAGCCTGATGGCATATGCCATCAAAATACAAAGTCACAACATGACGAATGTGAAACAGAGCCATCTCTAAACTCACACAGAAATCAAATCAAGCATGTATCTTTTTAGTACTTACCAACAATTACAGTGACAATACAAGCCTCTTTAACAATATGTGATATTTTTAACAAAGGAGGGTTACATATCAAACTGCTGTAAAACGAGACACACATTCTAGATATAAATACATACACAAATGCACATCTAAATTTCCTGGTATTTCTAGACTAGCTATATGTATTTGTAATAGAAAACTGTGGTTTCCAGCTTATAGGGTTTTGCTACTGTTTTTTTTTACAGCCTCAAGGTCAAACAAGTCCCAACATCAGAAGCCAGAGTTTGATCTTGGTTCTTTTGAGGTAGTTAAGCGTTTACTGTATAACTGTGTCTTGTGCAAATCAGGAGTGCAAATTTTGGGCCCCCCGAGGACCCGTCTGTGCTACCAAATCAGGCATTACATTGACGGACAAGAAGCAGAGCTAGACCACCCTCTAGGAAATAAGGAACTTGCTATCTGAGCTCTAAAACCAAAGCAGAGATAGTTTAACAGGTCTCAACAGCGCCCTAATTTCTCTCAGGGAAAGTCAGCAGTGGGAGAAAGTGTGATACGTGATCCCGAGAGATCCATTAAGTGGCGTTTTGTCTTTCCTGGGAAAACGATCCCGCAGCATTCGATACGTGGATGTGTCAACCTGGCCAGGAACATCAAATAAGTGAAAGCAAGCAGCAGATATGTAACAGTACTGCTTTTCTAAATTCAACATTTTGGTACAATCAACTAGAAATGCAAATTTGGGAGGCATGAAAAAACAACCACCTAGAATTCGAGAGACGGCAAGCAGAATAAAAATGCTGTATTTACACCAAAGGATGACCTTCAATTTATAATAATTTCCCCAAAAGCACCCAGAAAGAGCCTGAGATAACTGAACAGAGAAGAAAAGAAGAAAAAAATTATTCAGGTGGTGGAAAAATCATTTAAATCCACCAGGTAAAACACTTTCTTCCAGGAAGGCTTAATGTTCAGGCAAGTTGGGCTCTTTTAGAGGATGATGACCCCACCTCCCAATTCACAAGTAATTATTTGGAGAGAAAAAGGTAAGTTAGAGTCCAGAATTGCATAAGAAGTCAGACTGACCTAGGAAAACGAAAGAAGTGCCTTTGCTGCCACCATATGGCCAAAAGGCATTAAGTGCAGCTTGGCGCATTGGGTAATGTGGGTCGACTATATATATATTTCTTTTTTTAAAAAAGCTTGATCCTTTTAAGTTAAAGGCATATATATTACAATGCTATTATTGCAGTCCGCATGCGGATTTTTGAAGATTCAGCCAAAGAGGTTTTCTGTTTTTTTAATTTTTCCCTAGCATCAGAGGAAAATTAACGGACGAAAACTTTGGACATTGGCATGGAGATATAATTGTGCCCTCTTACCCCCTGTTCTTGGCAGATGTGGGTCAGTCTTTCCAGCTGCTCGTCCTGAATAACCTTTGCTTTTTCGTACTGTTGAATCACCATCTCCATTTCCACTTTAACGGGCAGGACGTAGGCTGCAAATCAGAACCATACAGATAGGGTCTTTCATAGCAGATAAGGCAGATCTCTACCACTAATCAGAAATGCAGACTTTCTGCGGCTACTGAACATCCCTCGACAAATGCAAATTGAGACTCTTGAAAGAACCGATGTGCAATTGAGAGAGAGGATAATTCTGAACAACCATCTTTAAGATAAGATTCTCTCGGCTTGTCAAAAATCATCTATTGCCTCCAAGGCTTCTTTTTAAAAAGGAGACGTGTGTGTGTGTGTGTGTGTTTACTTAGGAAAATGGAAGCAAGTTTTGCTTATTCAAGATCACCTATTCTACTCTAATTGTCTAATGCAGGGGTCTTCAAACTTGGCCCTTTTATGACTTGTGGACTTCAACTCCCAGAATTCCTCAGCTAGCATGCCTGGCTAACGAATTCTGGGAGTTGAAGTCCACAAGTCATCAAAGGGCCAAGTTTGAAGACCCCTGGTCTAATGTAGTGTTTCTCAAGCTTGGCAATTTTAAGAGGTGGTGGACTTCAACTCCATGCTGGCTGGGGAATCCTGGGAGTTGAAGTCCACACATCTTAAAATTGCCAAGCTTGAGAAATATTGGTCTAATACAGGGATGGCAAACCTCTTAGAGACCGAGTGCTCAAACTGCAACCCAAAACCCACTTATGCATCGTCCGGTGCTGGGTGGGTGTGACCCATTGGCCGGGTGTGGCCCATTGGGTGGGCGTGGCTGCGGTGGTAACGGCAGACTGGGTGGGATTAAAAAGTTCAATCAATCAATTCCAATTTTGCAAGATCTTTTTTTTCCTGCGAGAAGTTGAAATTGACTGATTGATTGAACCTTTTTTTTTGCACACGGCGGCGGAGGCCTAAAGCAAAAAGGTTTTATAAAACCCAGCTGAAGGCCTAGGACTGGGGCGACGGTGCGCGTGCCCACAGAGAAGGCTCTGAGTGCCGCCTCTGGCACCCGTGCCATAGGTTCGCCACCACTGGTCTAATAGATCACAAGTGGATTTTCACATGCAGTTTTTTTAAAAGAAGTTGCTAAGAACTTGAACTGCTCAGCCCGAGCTGGTGCTTCTTTCTTTCTCCAAACCTCCATATCCTGCTGCAGATTACTTTTTTTCGCAAAATTCTAATTGCCCACACAAGCACATTATTGCACCTGTTATGACCCTGGGACAAAACACATGACTTAAGTACACTGGGAATTTGTTTATCTTCTCAGCAAGGGATACTGGTTAAATCTGTGTTTTCTGCTTGAAATTAGCCTAAAATAGATGTTATCCATTTAACAAAGGAATGGCTTGTTTTTATTTGTTAATTTTTCAAATTTATACAGCCACTCCTCTTGCCAAACGAGTGATTCTGGGCAGCGCACGACCAAGTTAAAAAAAAAAAATCACTGTTGACTTACCATCAATAATTCGTTTGACTCTCCAAATTCTCAGGGTAATAATGAGACTTATAGCATCCCATGGACTGCTTGGTCCATTAGCCACTGTAGATGCCACCATGGGAGCCAAAGATAAGATGATTACAGCACCATCAAATACCTAATATGAAAAGAATTTCACAGGAATCACATATACATTATTTTTGAACGTGTGCATCTGTGGGAAATGGCCAGGTTGAGTCCGAGGATAGGGTAGGGTCGAATGCGTCATCTGTTTGGAATCTTATGCAGCCACAAGAGATCTACGCCCATGGATTCTGCTGACTCTTATCTAGTGTCAATTTGCCTTGACTGTTAGTAGATCAGATTCTTGTGTATAAAATAAACTTGTGTATGAAATAAACTTGTAGTACTTTTGAACTTTATCCTGGATCCTGGTTTCTTGCGCCTTACGTTATCAAGTGACAATTCAACCCTTTCTCTTTTTTGGATCCATACTGGTTATTTTACCCACGTTGCCCATACTGCATTTGTCGTATTTACATAATCGCATTTCCAATGGATTGTCCTATACAGGTAGTCCTTGACTTATAACCGTTCACTTAGTCATCGCTCCAAGTTACAATGGCGCTGGAAAAAATGACTTATGGTGTTTTTTCACACGACCGTTGCAGCATCCCCCTGGTCATGTGATCAAAATTTGGACGCTTGGCAACTGGATAGTATTTATAACGGTTGCAGTGTCCTGTGATCCGCTTTTGTGACCTTCTGACAAAGAGTCAATGGGGAAGCCAGATTCACTTAACAACTGTGTTACTAACTTAACCACTGCAGTGATTCATTTCACAAGAGTTGCAAGAAAGGTTGTAAAAAATGGGGCAAAACTCACTTAACAAATGTCTCACTTAACAACAGAAAGGTTCGGCTCAATTGGGGTCGGAAGTTGAAGACTACCTGTAGTTTAGCAGACTCCATGCAAAGGAGCTACAGTTTGGGCAGAATATACCACCCTGCCTTTTGACTTTAACCTGGTTGCTACAACAAGTAGCAGAAACCTGAGCAGTGCCCACCAAGGTTTGGGCAAGAGGGACGTATCATGAAAGATTTTGTTACTTTGGACTTACCTCTATTTTGTTTTCAATATAGTCCCATATACCGAGTACAACTATTCTCAAAATAGTCTAAGTCCATGTTGGGAAACAAAAAGGGGGGGGGGGTGGAAAGGAGGGAGAAGAGTGGAAATTAGCATTTGTCTTTTACACATTTATTTAAAACATGCTGACATCGATTATATTTAAAGCTTATTCCCTTCTTAAAAAGATGCCCTGCTTCTACCTCTTCCAAGTTCTGGGAATAATGGAAAAGATAAGCAAAATTCCAGGGACGATAATAGGGACAATCTTTTCAAGTTTAATAGCAACCATTGTCCAACTCAGAAATGAATAGCATTGCTTAAAGTCTCCATGGATCCTACTTTCAAGTTATAACAATAACAGTAACAATAACAGTAATAATAGTAATAATAATGAATGTCCCTTTCATAGATTTTAGTGGACAAGAGCTGCCAAACATTTTAGACCATTTGCAAACGCAAATGTTTTTTCTCAGGGTGGAAAAGTGGTGACCTGCTTAATCACTGCAATGACATGACTCAACTGCAGTCGTAAATTGAGGACTACTTGTAAAACAAGCAGCCAGAGGGGAATTCATGAACTGGCCCTAATTTTGTGGGGGCTGCTCCAAAGATTTCATCCTTGGGCTGTTCAGCTGGGAAGGAAGATTAATGCTCTCATCCCCACTCTTGTGATATGGTTAATTAGAGATGTGCCTAAAACAATCCCAGGGATAAAACAATCTATTTCTAACCCAACTGCTGATTGAGTGGGGTGTCAGGAGGATGTTCTGAGCCTGCCCACAGTTTAAGTGAACACAGCTGCTAAGCCAATTTCATGCCTTATTTGAAGTTTGGCAAGAAAATATGTTCCTAATGAAGTATGAATTTGGCCGTTTACAAGCAGGCAATGAGAAATTAAATCTCTTTAAGAAATTAAGTCTCTTTATTCAAGCTTGCAAATAAGAGTTTAACAGACCTTGGACAGTTTAAATCAGGGGTGTCCAATCTCGGCAATTTTAAGACCTGTGGACTTCAACTCCCAGAAATTTCTGGGAGTTGAAGTCCACAGGTCTCAAAAGTTGCCGAGGTTGGATACCCCTGGTATAAACAATTTGGTATACGTTTCTTGCAGACGTTTCATTACCTAATTAGGAACGTCATCAGTGTTGGAAGGGAGGGGGGTTTGCAGTGAGGAGGAGGAGGACCATGACTGAGGGGTCTTTGCTGCTCACTGACCTTGGTTGTTTTCTTGCAGACATTTCTGTTACCCAAACTAGGTAACCATCATCATAGTGCTAGTCAAGATGTTTTTCATTCTAGACTTAATTCTAGCCTTTAATTGTAAACAATGCCACAATTAAGTCCTCTGGGACTCTTGTCGAGGCCAATTGTCCTCATTTCTATTGATCTGGCTACTCATTTCAACTCTTCAAGTGACAATGGAAGAAGCATCTGTCAATAAAAGTAGCTATTTATGGCTCTCTCTTTGTCTCTCTGGTCTCAAGAGACTTACTGGGACATTCTGTGTTCTTACAGTATCATCTGTACACTGGTCTTCCCCCTATGATTAGCACGTGAAAATTAGCTGGGGAAAGCCTGTTCTGAAAACCGAAAGTCTGTCAAGTTCTAATTAAAAATATGTTTACTGAAGGATAGGAAAAAAAAAAAACCAGCCATATTCCTTTTCCCTACAGTTATAATTCCTATTTCCTTTACCTCTGAAAAGAAGATAGATAGGATAACCAGACTGATCCAGTGAATGACGCCAGCAAATTGCGATGCGCTTGAAACTATAAGGAAGAACAAAAAAGCAAGTTACACGTGATGTGTGTCATGCATAGGCCAAAGCAGGATGGTCAGTCTTAAAGTGTATTTTAAAAGGAAATGCAGCTGTCTATTTTAATTCTTATTCTTAAATTAATATCACAATTTTGTTAAAGCAGGCTCAAAACCAGGAAGTCGCAGAAACCTTAAGATCTGTAAAGAGAAGGCATCAATAAAGACAAAATCCTCCTGGCAGGAGGGCACAGGACTCAGGGATAGGCAACCTTGGCTCTTTTATGACTCATGGACTTCAACTCCCAGAATTCCTGAGCCGGCATAGCACCTTGTACCCGCCTAGCTGGCTCAGGAATTCTGGGAGTTGAAGTCCATGAATCATAAAAGAGCCAAGGTTGCCTACCCCTGGCATAGGTGGATATTCTGATGAAAGTTCTTCAGGAACTCCTCAGAAAGTGGAATGGGACAATTTGGTGTGGGCCAGTCGCTGTGGCCAACTCGTCATGGCCAACTCGCCAAGGGACAATTTAAGAATTCAATTTAATTATTTAAAATCAATAAAAAAATATTTCAATTTTTGTCATTCGCTTTTCATTCTATCCTTCCTTTGGCATCCTTTCTTGAATGATTCTAGTCCACCCTTTCTTTGATATTAGTGTAACCCTTGTCCCGCAGAGAGTTCTCCCAGGGCCACTTGTCCCATGGCGAGCTGGCGAATGATCAGAGAGTGCTGTTGGTTCAAAGACGATATTACGGGCAATAAAGTTTACCAAGGATTTAGGAGAATTTTCAGAACATCGGGTTATGGGTCAAAACAAACATGAATGAAAGCAAATACACGTGTCTCAGGATAATGTTAAAAGATCCAATATGGGTCGTTTATTGCAGAGGTCCCCAACCCCCGGTCCGTGGAACAGTACCGGGCCGCGGCATGCCAACAACTGGTCCGCACAAACAAGCAAAGCCCCATCCGTGGGATGCAGGCAGCACACAAAACCACGCACCCTCCGGTCTGCGGAAAACGCTCTCTCCGCGTAACTGGTCCCTGGCACCCGAAGGTTTGGGGACCTCTGGTTTATTGGGACTACAGGTTTTGTTTTCCAAGCTTTTGGACTTGTTCTGGACCCCATCTTCAGGGAACTTCAAACTTCAAAGCTCAGAAGACGAAACCTCCAGTCCCGATGAACGACCCAGATTGGATCCTGAAAAACCAACATGTTTGAAGGAGACAATATTTGCTCCACACTGGAACCTTCAACATAAGGACGTCCATCTTTTTGTAGAAACATTCCCCGAATCTTGTTCAGCACACACCTATTACCATAACGTGAGAATAGGACAGTGACTGTTATCTTGCAAACAAAATGCATAGAAACCATCCTGGCCAAATCAACATGGCAGTAAGCGGACACAAAGAGGGACCACAAAGAGGCTATCAGTGCCACTGTAACTTCAAACGGTCATTAAATGGACTGTTTGTAAACCGAGAACTATCTGTATCCTGTGGTTTGCTCAAACATTTCTGGAAGAAAAACAGAAACAAGGGTGAAGGCCTGCTACTCACACTGGAGAAGCTTTATATCTATTAGGAGCTCCAGAGTCAGAAGAATCACCACCAATACTACACAGGCTAGCAGGAAACTGTTGAGACTCGCACTGAGTAAAAATACCTGCCACACGGCCGCTCGCCTCCCGCAGCAGGGCTTAAGCCAGTTAGATCTGAAGGAAGAAAAACAGAGGGAAGGAGGAAGAAGAGGAAGACAGACGAGAAAAAGGCAGACAGGTAAAGAAGAGCAAGACAGAAGACAGCCGGTTCTGTTTGAGCAGAGAGTGGTTGGGGTATTTAAGATCCACGTTCGTATTTAGTAGTTGAATTTATACCCTGTAAATGTATAGGATGCAAATTTAATCTGGGGTTCTTCATTTCACCCCCATAGTAGCGATCATAGATAGTTGGGCTGAAAGGATGTAATCCCCTGAGCTTCCATACTTTGTCCTGATCCGGCCCCTAAATTACCACACCACCATATTATTAACGAAACAAATCTTTATGGTACAATATATACTCAACCCATCTGTTTAGCGAAGGTACCATGCTCACTGCACGCCTGGTGTGGTAAGTCCAGTTTGCAAAGTTCTCAGTCCAATAAGCAGGCACAGAGGGAATCCAGATTCAACCCCAATGGTTCCTTTTGTACAAAATGTGCAAACAGCAAAGAGGAGCAATGCAGGATTAGACCAAAGGCTCAGCCAGACTTCTATTCAGGCCATGCATTTGCCATTTAGAGGGTCAAAAGCAAGATACAAGCTCAAGAACCCACACCTACTGACCGTCACCATTGGTGAGTTCTTATTTATTATTTATTAAATTTATATGCCGTCCATCTCACCGAGAGGTGACTGCTAGGTGGCTTAAAGATGTATGGTTTCCAAAGTTGGAATGACTAAATCATAACGATCCCAACTGGAATCTCTTAACAGGTTTATTTTCCTGCATGACCTTATCTAATTGTCCATTAAAGTTGGTAGTCATCAGAATCAGAATCTAGGACTCTTTTAGATATATTAAAAAAAACCCACACATTTCTACATCTAGATTAAACAACCCTTCTTTGATGATTTGCCATATGATTGTTTTATGCCACACGATGTGTGTGTGTCCTGCAGAACTGGAATTTCCCGTTTTAATTTTCCAGAGGATCAAGGATTGCCCGGGTACGAAGCCTACCGAATTCTTCGTACAACTTCAACTTCAAAACGAACGGGGCATGAAAATAAACTTACTACTTCTTGTAGTTTCCTGCGTTGGCTGTTCCCCCTATTCCTACATTTTGACATTTTGTATTAGTAAAGCAAGTTGGGACCACACGTGCTGCCTTACACCCAATCAAAGTACTAAATTATTTTATCCAGCAGTCAAGATCAGCTTACTGCAACACTGGCTGAGAATTTTAATTTCAGACGCCAAGGACTGATTGAACAGGAATCCTTTCTGGTATGAAAAGCGTTTACTCTTCCTTGAAACTTCTGCCAATGCAAACAGAATGTGTGCGTTCGCTATAGGATTTAAAGTTCTAGAGTAGGGTTCTTCAAACTTGGCCCTTTTATGACTTGTGGACTTCAACTCCCAGGCACGCTGGCTGAGGAATTCTGGGAGTTGAAGTCCAAAAGCCATAAAAGGGCCAAGTCTGAAGACCCCTGCTCTAGAGCAAATATTATTAAGTCTTTACATAATGCCACAGAACGGAGCGCCCCAAACTCAGACCCAAATTTACTAATCAACTTTGTAAGTCCTTCTCTCAGTGGGGACTAATTACAGATACGCAGGAGTATTTGTGGTATTTTCTAAAATCGTCGCTACCAGATGATCTACTTACATTTAAAAAAATAAACAGATGCATCCTTCTTCCAACAATATTTCTAGATTCTAGAATCTAGGTTCCTATTTGATTCCTTTATTTGTCATTCTTAAATATTTAGTCTAATTCTGTGACTTTTAAAAATTCCCAGAATGGACAGTAGGTGGCAGAGGTGCCTATATTTAGAGCAGGAATCTCCAACCTTTGCCACTTTAAGACTTGTGGACTTCAAGTCCCAGAATTCCTCAGCCAGCAAAGCTGGCTGAGGAATTCTGGAACTTGAAGTCCACAAGTCTTAAAGTGGCAAAGGTTGAGGACCCCTGATTTAGAGCAACTGTGGAATATAAGACTGTAATTTTAACTGGGACTCACCTTGTTAAAAGGAAAAATAAAACAAGTGAGAGAAATTGGAATTATTGAAATTACTACTAACAAAAAGATATAATTAAAGATCAGGATCAGTTAGAAAATCCCATTTGTAAAGTCTTCAGTTACAAAAACATGTATGTTTATCATTCTTTAGGGATGTAAGTTATAAGTATATATTTTGTAAATTATACTATCATTTAAAAGCAGTGTATTACTACAACAGTAGACACCTAAAAGGATCTTTATCAAAGAACGTTAGCCTCCTTCAAACGTATTTCCAGTTGCTAGCAAAATGGTAGAGGATGCCTCAATTTTACCTGCCAAACAGTTCCTAGAACTGATTAGATGTAAGTTGCAAAAAACAGATAAATTTATTTCCAGTTTTAAGTAGGATCCTTAGATAAAACACACAGCAATTTGATAAAGCAAATTTCTAAACGAACTGAATTTCTTTGAAGGGAAAAAAATCAAGGCGCTTTCATCAGCAAAGGAGCATTTATGGAAGTAAATAAAATTTTGGGCTTTTTGTTAAAAAAAAAAAGGCTGATATGCGAGATTCCTGGTGTAAATCTATTTATACGTTTCTTCTTAAATTGGGAGGTTTTAAAAATATGCTGACAGGGAAAGATCAGCAATGCCAATTTACGAAACAAAGGAGAAATGTGCATCTCACAACAGCCTTTCCCAGTGTACAAAGCCCATTATAACAATTTTTTGTAATATACCGCTGTTTAAGCAAATGTTCAACAACGAAGGAAAGAGAGAAAAGATTACTGCAATACTCTGGTAATGAGCCACTACAAACACTTCAACTCAAGCTGCTAACAGATGTCACGGTTTCCGCTTTCTTGAGTTGGAGAAGGGACATTATGCCATGAAAGGCAGCATCATGTAACGCAGTGGTTCTCAACCTTTCTAATGCCGTGACCCCATAATACAGTTCCCCATGTTGTGGTGACCCCCAACCACTTATACATCACCGGGTGCCAGGGGCGTGGCCAAAGAAAAAGGGGGAAAAATGGCGGACAGCCTTGTTTGGCGACCCCCGTGAAATGGTCGTTCGACCCCAAATGGGGTCCCGACCCACAGGTTGAGAACCACTGATGTAACGTGAAAGAACGTGGGAGTTTTGCTCAGCACTGACTGCAGAATACAGTCTGCAACAGCATCCAATTTAACAACGGGAAGTATCAATTCTTAGGTCCCAAAACAAACAAACAAACAAACAATGTGTGTGTGTGTGTGTGTAGATAGATAGGTAGGTAGGTAGGTAGGTAGATAGATAGAGATATATAGATATATAGATAGATGGATATAGATATAGATAGATGGATATAGATAGATAGAGATACATAGATATAGACAGACAGACAGACAGTCAGTCAGTCAGACAAGGTCTGGAAGATGGGACACATAAAAGAATCCAAAAATTTTAAGATGAGGCCATCATTTTGTATCTGTTAAAAGTTAATAACTACTTCAAACTTACTATAGAGCAGAGGTGTCCAACCTTGGCAACTTTTAAGACCTGTGGACTTCAACTCCCAGAATTCATGGCCGAATATTTTTTTTTTCACTTTTTTGAAAAACACTCTTATTTTTTTTTTAATCAATGTATGTATTTTTATCACTGAACTACATTCATAAGCTAAAGTTCTTTAAGCCAAAAAACTGGACAGCCATTTATCCGAAATGGTGTAGGGTTCCTGCCTGAACGGGGTTGGACTTGATGACCTCCAAGGTCCCTTCCAACTTTATCATTATCATCATCATCATCATTAGTAGTAGTAGTAGTACTGCCTGGAGAACTTTGCTAAAAATTCATTTTGCCTCCAATTCTGCATTATGTCCAGATCAGCCTGAATCTTATTTTTTAGAAGAATGGGCTCTGCTGTGTTTGCCTAGCTAACGTTTCCAGCCTAAAAGCATTTTATGAACCCGAAAGTTACACAGCCTAAAAGCATTTTATGACCATTATTTCCCATTACACATAATAAGATATATAAAAGAAAACAGCAAAGCTGTTCAGAACCTCCTGTTTCTAATTAAGACATGGGAACTTATTACGAAACTGTCAGAGTCGGGAAACTAACGTCTTATGTTCAACAAAAGCAACAATAACCAAACCCCTTTCCCTTGTCAAGGGATCAGTATCATGATTTTAAGGGCTCTAAACAAACAACACAATTGGCTAAGAGCAACAATGCAAAATCGAGGTTGCCTGAGGGTGGATCCAGAGATTAGGACAATGATTTAATAACAGCAAAAGAAAAAAAAAAGAAAGAAAAGAGAGAGAGAGAGATAGAGAGTTCCTTTTCTGTAAATTAAACTACTGAATTTTTTTTTTTTTTTTTTTTTTAAGAAAACGTTTGGGGAGTTAAAAGTAAGTCGATGGATGCTTACCCTTCTCTCTGGTACTCCTCATCCAAATTGGAGAAGAGCTGGGAGCCTGCAACGGACAGATCCAGCGCAGCGAGGGGTAAATCCCGATAGGCGAAATTGACCAGCTGTACCGGGGCGACACTTCTGGTCTCGTCTTCTATTTGCTGAGAAATTATTTCGACCTCTGAAACTCCACCTTCTATAGGAGGCCTAACAAAGTCATCAATGAAAAAAAACAACACAAAAATAAGAACCAGTCCCCCCCCCCAACTGTGAGCAAATTATACTTTACTCTAAGGCAGTGGTTCTCAACCTGTGGGTCGGGACCCCATTTGGGGTCGAATGACCATTTCACGGGGGTCGCCAAACAACGCAGTCCGCCATTTTTTCCCCCCTTTTCCTTAGCTGTGCTACTCCCTTTTATTCTATTGGCTTTTGAAAGCCAATAGAATAGACTGTCTTGAATAGAGTCTAATTCTCTTGGCTTTCAAAAGCCAATAGGAATTGTCCAGGCTGTCTCTGCCCTGCTGAGCCCACCAAAAGTCCCAGTCTGCAAACGGTGCTGCACCAGTTGAGTAGTCCTCGACTTACGACCGGTTGAGTAGTCCTCGATTTATGACCGGTTGGGGGATCGCGGCATTAAAAAGGTTGAGAACCACTGCTCTAAGGCTACTTTAACAGAAACTTGCAAGACTGAAGGTATAAATCTCCCGCTGTCTCTTTTACAGCCTGAGAAGTGAGGGAAGGGTCCCTTCTGAGAGTTTTCCTTTGCCCGTTATGCAGTTGCAGGGTATGTCCTCTCTTATTTGATCATTCCCAGGAAGCATCTCTGCCCTCCTCCATCTGCCAAGGTCATTCCCACATCCTTACACTTTCATAAAACATAAAGATGCCCCAGTGGTAAAAGTGTGTCAAGAATTCGAACAAAGCTACCAACTTAACTAAATACAGGTAGACCAGTTTCCTGTATGCGATAGCAACGTTTATTTAAGGTGTGGGAGAGAAATGTTTACTTAAAAATACTATTAATGAATGCGGAGGATATCAATGTGTCAATATCGCTAGTTGTATCTCAAAGATTTGGGTACCAAAAGATTGATTCCAGATTGTTATGGTTCCTGGAAGGCTTCTGGAATAAGCTATGTTTTGGGTGCTGTTTGTAATGTTAATTGATTTCACCAGGGTCAAACTTCAAGCCATTAGATATCCTCAGAATCATGTTTATGCCGACACTTTCCTGCAGATTCTTTTCTGGACCAAAGGAATGGAAGATTCATTGTACACCAGATTCAATAAACTTCTACTTAAGAATGCACAAAGGAGTTTCCAGTTTGACTCATGGCAGGACATAGTTATCAATCTCTTTAGCAGAAGCGAGACTGAAAATGGTTTGGAAAAGGAATGCAGAGTGGATCACCGAGATCCAATCCATGGCTTCAAAGCAGCCATTACAGTAGGTCTACAGGGGGAACGTAACCCAAAGTAACTCAAAATAACCCCATCTTGTGTCTGTTTGGTATAAAGGGGGGCAGAGGGAAACTATGGCAAGCTTTTAAGATTCTGTTACTATATCCTATAACAGGGATAGGCAACCTTGGCTCTTTTATGACTCGTGGACTTCAACTCCCAGAATTCCTGAGCCAGCTGTGCTGGCTGTGGAATTCTGGGAGTTGAAGTCCACATGCCTTAAAATTGTCAAGTTTGGGAAACACTGCTGTATGGTATAAGAGGACGCAACAGGAAACTCTGGCGGGCTTTCAGACTTCTATTAATTATTATACCCCGCAACAATAGTGACATTCATATGATCTGTGCTATTTCTTATTCTGGCTTCCTTTGAATGGCTGACAAATACACAGTGAAATCTTGGTGAAATGATGAAGGAAAACAGAATTAATTACCCCACTTCAATGGCTGCCTTTTAGAGTGTCAAAAGGTCTAAATTAGATCTCCCACACGACACCCTTTGCTCTCAGTAATACAGGATAATGGGCTAATAAACATCATGAGACTGGAACAAACAAGGTAAGGTAAGCAGGAAAAAAAAAAGCTTCATGTTCAACTTCTTTTTTAGGATGCACTGATTTCTCTCTGAAAAAAAAAAGTGTTTAAAATCCTCTAGTGAATTAAATGGCCTGGATAATCAGCCAGATAATTATAGAAGGCACTCTATTCCAGGGGGCAAATTATGCAAGAATATTTGCCCCAAACAAAACATCTGTTTTTCATACAAACATGAGGAATTGAAAAAGGGAACAGCAAACCATATTCTATCCTCTTGTTTCTAGATAACAAAAGGAAAAAAAAAGTAGCAGCAACCAGGTGTACTTGAGAAGAATACATTAGAATAGAGCTAGACAGTCAGACCATCAAACTATTTTTGATTACCATCAAACCTAGTTATCATGATCAACAGTTAGGGATTAAGATTCAAAGTTGACTCAGCCCTCCGACCTTCCAAGGTCGGTCAAATGAGGATCCAGATTGTTGAGGGGCAATATGCTAACTCTGTAAACTGCTTAGAGAGGGCTGTAAAGCACTGTGAAGCGGTATAGAAGTCTAAGTGCTATTGCTATAGGGATTGTAGTTCAAACATCTGAAGGGCATGGGGCTATTTAAATTACATGGGATGGATAAAGATGTCTGGATGTGTTGAAATGATGTATGTATAGAATGGAACCTAAAACTAAACAAAGCCCATTACACCAAGGAAGAAATGTTGATAGAAAGAGGTTTTTCTTTTTTTAAAAAAATGAAAGCTCCACATGAAATTAAAAGTTGGAAGGAAATGGGGAGATTTTACAGGTTATCCACACAACTGAAATTTTTCTACTACTGCAAATGTCCAACTTCCCTGGCCAAGAGAGACTTAATTCTCGCTGAGTGCCTTTTCGCATCAAACAGAACACCGCCTAGAAAAAGCAAATCAAGACATTCTTATTCAAACCTTTGTACCCACTGGGGATTGGTCATGTTGAACGATGAACCGAAGGCAGCACTTGTCTACCTGTTTCCAGCTCCTCAGTCATGAATAGGTTGCATCAGAAGGAGAAAATTCTTTAAAAAAAACAACAACAACACGAAATTAAAACGTGTGACTTAGTGGCAAAACCTCTTTATACACCTAAGGCATAAAAGCAAACACGAGCATTAAAGCTGCTAACCACCCTTAGGAAGTCTTTCAACACATAAGCAGGTTAGATAGATTTTAAAATAAGGTGAAACCAAGCCGTTGGCTTACCAAGTCCAGGCAAGACTCAATTTGTGTGCAGAATGAAATTTTAAGTCATTCTTTCTTTCCCTGTCTGGGTGCTGACATTTAGGATGAATAGGCTCATGTGTTGATAAGGAAGCTGCAGAGAAGCAGTGACCTGGCATTTACTTCTAATCTGCCTACATCAGCAAAGGCTGAATTAATCTTTCTTCCTGTGCAGAATACTGTGGGACGCTGAAGGTCCTCTGTAAGCTCATAATTTATCCGTTTTCTCCCGAAGGATCGTTCCAGGCAAAAGAAAGTCTTCCTTTGCTAGACAAGAGCTTCAGAAGCCTCGCCAAAAATCACTGCTTATTAAGTTTCTCAAGTTGCTTTCCAAATGCAAGGATCTATTTTGTTGCGCATCAAGCAGAATATTGGAATAATTCAAGCAGAACATGTACTTCAATACATCGAACAACCATCTGTCGAGAAGTGAGGCTCAAGTACATGACACCGATGTGTGAAGACTCTTATGCAGAGAGTGCTCGACTTACAACATTTCGTTTAGTGACCGTTCAAAGCTACAATGCAGCGGACAAAGTGACTTTCGATTATTTCTCACACTGTTGCAGCCTCCCCACGGTCATATGACTTCAACTTGGATGCTTGACAACTGGCTCACCTTTATGACGGCTGCAGTGTCCTGGGGTGGTGGGATCCCCTTTGGCGGCCTTCTGACAAGGGACGCCAATGGGGGAACCAGATTCACTTAACAACCGTGTCATGAACTTAACTGCAGTGACTCCCTTAACAAAGGTGGCAAGAAAAGTCGTAAAACGGGGCCAAACCCACTTCACAAATTTCTCAATTTTGGGCTCCGCTCTGATCGTTCAGTTCAGCAGCACCTGTGCTAATGCCCAAAATTAGTCCCATAAATCAATATCCAGACAAACCCCAAAAGTTCTTTACTTGGCAAATAGGTTGAGATGAAGACAAGAGGTTGGGTTGTAGAGCTCAAACCAAACAAAGGACTACTGCCAAATCTATTCTTATGCCCTGCAGCTGCTCTGACATGTAAATGTCCTGCCCTGTCATTTTAAAGAGACCCATCGCCTGCCAGACAGAAGGAGTGTGGATCAATATTAAAGGTTCCTTGAACAAATCACACACACTCAGCGATAGAAAGAACAGCCCTTAGACGAAAGGGCACAGATTCGTTGCAAATGAAAAAAAAAAAAAACAAACCAGAAAATTAGGGGATGGGGGAGAGAGAGAACAGGAAGGAATGACAAGGGAGTAAAGATTCACTGTATTATTATTTTTTTTTAAAAAAGAGCGTTTCTGAGGTATGCTATTGATCCAGGGGTTTTAAGGTTTCTAAGGTTTTAAGATGCAGGCAGTTCATTTAGTGACTGTTTTAAAGTTACAACTTAGGACCATTTCGGCCTTCGCAGCCTCCCCTGTCCCTGTGATCAAAATTCAGACACTCGGCAACTGCTTCATCCTTATGACCATGGCTGTGTCCCAGGGGGGTCACATGACCCCCCCCCTTTGCAACCTTCTGCTCAGCAATTAGGAAAGCCACGGTTAACTTAACAACCGGGTTAGCAACTTATCTGCTGCAGCGATTCCTATTAACAACTGTGGCAAGAGAAGGTCGTAAAACGGGGCCAAGCTCACTTAACAAAGGTCTCGCTTGACGACAGAAATCCTGGGCTCAATTTGCGGCCATAGGTCGGGGACCATCTGTATGGGGAGAAGGGAAGGACCTTCAGGATGGAAGCAGATGGGAGATCGGACTATCTGATCGAAGCCGGTGGGTTTGAGTCTGCTCTCCCAATCTTTTGTTTGTGCTCCAAAAGAGGATTGCACAGGCAATGCTGGGAAACACCCCTCCCTCCCTCCCTGCTTGCCAGGGGGAAGGGGAGGGCCCTAAAAGAGAAGCCACCACGAGAGACGGCCTAAAAAGAGAAGCCGTAAGATTTTGAAATGGCTAAGATTCTACCCCGTGAAATCTTTTGACCAGCAACTGCCCCGGTCAGAACTTCAGACCGACAAGAATTTCTGACTTCGTCCTCTCAGCTTTGGAAAGGACCCAAGAAGCAGCTTGACAAACTTCTTAAGGGCGAGTACAAGCAACTTTATTAAAGTTATTACAAACTTTATTGCGGTGGATAATTCCGTGCAGATTTCAGTGGAGTGAGGTCATGCGCTTGGTGTGATACTTTATTCTTCCTTGGGAAAAAAGGTGGAGAGTTACAACAGGAGGAAAGAGGCCTTTTAGAAGCTTTTTCTTTGTCTGTCTTGTAAATGTTGTGGCCAAACTTTGCCCAGGGAATATCCTGGGAAATCCTGTGGTTTTGATTTGCACTGAACGCGAGGCTTTCTCTGCAGACGTACCTGGGGTGGGCAGTTGTAATCATCCAGGGGAGTTTTATTTGTTCGGTGATGCAATCCTGGTGGTAAATTGTGCATAGTCCAGCCAAAATGTAAACATTATCAAGTTGGGGGTTTTTTTGTAAAGAACTTTGGAACATTATAATAGCCCATATGCGATTGCCCAGTTTATAAGTGCAATTTCAAAATACACCTGGGTCACCTGCCAGTAACCAAATGCAAGAGGAATGTGGATGGTAGAGTTTTCTGTTGCTAAGCAAAGTTCTCTGTATGTTAGGAGCAGACAGTCGATTTGTTATTCTGGATGTTTGCTAACATCCACAAAATAATGTTTTGGAATTGTTTGTGGTGTGTCCAAAAGCTCCTGTTTTAATTTAATCAGCGGAGGAAAAAAACTGATTCAGTTCATAGAGCCTAGCCATACTTCAAAGAGGGCAGAAAAAAACTTAGGAGAAACTTTCTTAAGACAAAATGTCACCTTATTCAAAAAGTTCCCTATCACCTCCTCCTTCGCCACAAGGAAGAAATAGAATAATTGCAAGAGAAATAAAAAGTCTACTTTGCGTTCCACTAATCTCAGCTGGAAAACTGTAATTTTTAGACAGGAATGTTGTTTTATTTGTTAAACGGTGTTGTAATGTACTTTTAAGTGGGAGGGAATAGGATTTGCAAATTTAATGGGGGGAAAACTTGACTTTCCAAAATGTCACTGAGCGATGATTACCAATATTATTTGGCACTGAGCATATCCCTTAGAGTAGTAGAAATTGCAAACCATCAACATGTATAGGAAGGCAATTTCCTTCTCCTCCTTGTTCTTTGTGATCACCTGTTGTTTGTGTGTATGCCATATGTTCAGTTGCCAACTGAGAGCAATAGGAGAAGAGCTTATACTCTTGCTTGCTTCAACAGGATTTCTTTGTCCCCTTCCTACTGAGTTTTTGTTTTTTACACTCATGTAGTTTTCCTTTGATCGGATTTGATGTGTTTAGCCTTCTATTTTCTTTGGTTTTAGGTTATGATTGCATTTATTACACACTCAAGTTAGCATGCTTTCTTTTGTTATTTTTTTAATATATTATATGCAAACGTGAGCATCCTGCCAAAGTTGGGGGGGGGGAGAGAAATCCTATAAATAATGAACTTCACTACAACTGGCTTTTGACCCAGAATCCTTTTGAATGCGACTTTTGTTATGTGAAATACTCCTGTATCATCAGGGGCTGTTTGTGAGATGCTTCTGTTATATTCAATGCATCCCAACACAATAGGATTTCTGGCTAATGTGATTGTGTAACTCGGGGATATTTGAAACCTTAATATAAACACATGGTCCGGCATTTCTGCCAGGGGGTTATTGAAAAAAGGCATTGCATTTTGGGGGCACGAAAAACAATATGACAAGTACTCTCCCTTGAGCTGCAATTATCTCTAGGAAATGTATAAGCTCTATTACCTCTGCTTTGGGCATCTGATCTCATGCCACAGAACTTTCCATTAATCATAGGACAATGTCTACGGAGGTTCTCAGTCATCCAGGTCACGGTTGTCCCAAAGGTGTTTTTTTCAAGAGGCAACTGGACCTTCTTGTTTTTCTCTGAAGACGTTTTGCTTCTCATCCCAGAAGCTTCTTCAGCTCTGGAGAATAAGGAAGTCCAGCTGCCTCTTGAAAAGCACCTTTGGGATAGTCATCGGATACCTCTACTACAGTGGTTCTCAACCTGTGGGTCGGGACCCCATTTGGGGTCGAACGACCATTTCACGAGGGTCGCCAAACAACGCAGTCCGCCATTTTTTCCCCCCTTTTCCTTAGCTGTGCTACTCCCTTTTATTCTATTGGCTTTTGAAAGCCAATAGAATAGACTCTCTTGAATAGAGTCTAATTCTATTGGCTTTCAAAAGCCAATAGGAATTGTCCAGGCTGTCTCTGCCCTGCTGAGCCCGCCAAAAGTCCCATTCTGCAAACGGTGCTGCACCAGTTGAGTAGTCCTCGACTTACGACCGGTTGAGTAGTCCTCGATTTATGACCGGTTGGGGGTCGCGGCATTAAAAAGGATGAGAACCACTGCTCTACTATCTATGACACAGGTGGGCAACTAGTATGGCAACTTTATGACCTGTGGACTTCAACTCCCAGAATTCCTGAGCCAGCCATGCCAGGAATTCTGGGAGTTGAAGTCCACAGGTCATAAAGTTGCCATAACTGCCCCCTCCTGATCTGTGAATTACAGGGGAATATTTTTAAGGTGCATTTTGCTTGGGTAAAGTACTAAGCTGCTCTTAATTTACTAGGTGACTAGCTTTCCAATATTACACAATGTTTGGCTTATATCTAGAAACAGAATGGGAAATGCTATTAGAATAGAAAATATCATACGTGTTTTGAAAAAAAAACTTTCGTAGAAATTATGGTATAAATTTTAACCGCTTCCCCGTAATGAAACATTCTCTGGCTAAGAAAAAT